AGACATTTTACAAAGGGGCGATGCATATTCATGTTATAAGTGTTATTAATCTTGGAATTCAAGTTCGGGCTTTTAGCGGAGTAACACCGAATTAGATAATCATTCGTTGATTATCAAGAGCCTTGATTAATAATAGATGGTAGATCCCCAGACTAGCTTGAGACAAGGGATGAGGTGGTTTTCAGTTAATGATAACTTATGTATTACATGGTCTTGTATTTTTGGACTCAAGTTTGTACCCAAAAGAGTAAGTGGGAGATTGTTAGGTTTATGCTCTTTTACTTAAGCCCAATTGAAATAAAAGTATGAGAAGATTCCAAGAAGCATAGAGCCCATATAGAGCTTAGGGCTAGGGTTTCTTGGCACCCATACATATACACTATCACTTAAGTGGTAAGCCTTTAGGTTATTGAGAAAAAGATTGAAGCTCAGATCTGAAAACGTGGCAACACACTTCCCCTTCTCCCTCAAGATATAGTTTGGAAGGTTTGCTAGAGAGCAGAGAGATTTGTTCGTGCTAGAGAGATCTGTTCGTGTTGTGATACAGGAGAAATCGGTTCGTGAGTTCGTGTTGTGACACAGAGAATACCTATTCGTGGAGTATCATCTACGATCTGCGTTACAATAGGAATCATAAACGATGATGACCCGTAGCATCCCAAATTGCAATGATCTAAAACGTTTCTGCAGATCCAATTGTGCCTACAAATCCATATATATAAAGGATTTATATAATAGATACTACAATTTATATGTCTAAATGAAAAAACCAATTTGATGATGTAATAATATAGACAGTGAAAAGTGGCATCAATTGTGATAGTCTCCCACCATCATTGTTGTGAAACCCGGCTGGGTTGACCCGGAACTCGGTGAATCGGTCATCGGACCGGTTCGGGTCAAGCATTGAACCGACCATGCATAAGACCCGATCAAAATCTGGATAAAATCGGCCAAATTCGGTGACCTGGTCGGGTCATGGATTTTTATTAAAAAAAAACCCAAAAAACAAAATTGTTTCATTTTGTCGAAAAAAATGTAGAACTCATTTTAATTTTTTATTTTATTTTATTTGCTAGTATACTCTTCTACAATAACCTCAAATTTCAGCTTTCAATATTGAAACAATTTGCGAAACAATAAATTATGAGAATGTGACATGTCATTTTAGTGTAGATGAATTTAAAAAATATAAGTTCAATGTCATTGAGAAGTATGTTTATAGGGATTATGAGTTGCAATTTAAATTGACATAGTAATAGCGTGCATTTTCAATTTTTGAGCTTACTTAATGAATCTTGTTTAACTCGTTTTAGATATGGAGAACACAATTAAATTTATATGTTTATATTTAATTTTTTTATATATTTATATATATCCGGGTCAACTGGTCCGACCAGTGACCCACCGGTCTGACTAGTGATCCAGTAACCCAGTATCCCGATCGGGTCGGGTTTAATAACACTGCCAACCATATGCTTGTAGGTAATGTGATTAGCTTTTTTGCAACAAAAAAATGTGATTAGTTTTTTTATTTTTTTAAAGGACTTACTTCTGGTAGAAGGCCACAGGAAGCTATAGGAGCAAAAATAGATAAGATTGGAATAAGGAGTATTGCAGGATTTGAATCCCCGAAATTAGATAAGATTGTATGTCACACAATTAGATATCGCAATGCAAATCAAGTCGTCTCAACTAGTCATAAGTTAACACAAAAATGAAGTGATGTGGGTTGACCTATTTTAGAAAATAAATCAAGAAGGTTAACCTTTATTATGACACGTCACACAACTTATTTAATTTGTTTCTGTATACGTGTACAAATTGTAACTGTTTTTGGTTAGAGTCTGTTAGGAACATTTCTACACATGAAGTTTGATGAATAATTCCTTTAGAAGCATAGAACTCATTCATTAAGAACTCTTGCCCATTATCACTTCTAATTGTTTTGATTGAAGTGTCAAACTGATTTTTGACCAAAGCAACAAAATTCTGTAAATGCAATCTAGTTTCTCCTCTATTATGCATCAAAAGTACCCAAGTAAATCTTGAGTAATCATCAACAATAGTAAGAAAGTATTTGTATCCAGTAATGGATGGGACAGAAAATGGTCCCCATATGTCTACATGGATGAGATCAAAGGCTCTAGAAGCTCTACTGGTGCTTACATTGTAAGGCAACTTCCTTTGTTTTGCCATATGGCATATGTCACAAGGAGAACAATTATTATTAGAACTGATAAAAGGGAATTTTCTACACATTGTTTTCAAAACAGAATCAGATGTGTGTCCTAAACGCAAATGCCATAACCAGGAGGCATCTGCCAATGTATTATTCACATATCCTTTATTATGTATATCTGCTACATCTTCCTTTGTCTTCTTGCTACTGCAACATTCCAACAAGAAGAGCCCACTTTGCAATTTAGCTGAACCAATCACTTGTTGTGATTTGATCTGTTTGATCCAACAAACAGATTCACGAAAGATCAGTTCACAATCAAGAAATTGAATCAGTTTTCCCACTGATATCAAATTGACACAGAATGTAAAGAACCTTGGGATACACCACCCCAAAAGCTAGCTCAAAGGGTGGAGTGCCTAAGGCCTTATAAAGGTCATATTAGTTGCCCATCCAATCAATGTGGGACTATATATCTCAACACGCCCCCTCACGCAAGAGCTCTTTAGGCTAGAAGCGTGAAAATTGCACAGGCCCATTTTTGGTTTACCTTTTGTGCTTTTTTTATTTATTTTTATTTTTTTTAATTCCACTTTAAAGTGGGAGGCGATGAGGGCTCAAGCTCTGATACCATGTAAAGAACCTTGGGATACACCACCCCAAAAGCTAGCTCAAAGGGTGGGAGTGCCTAAGGCCTTATAAAGGTCATATTAGTTGCTCATCCAATCAATGTAGGACTATATATCTCAACAACCTTCTTGTTTAAAAAAAAGAAGAAGAAGAATGTTAACACATGGTAAGTTGGCAGGTTAATTCAGCTAAAAATTAAAAATAATAAAAACAAGAACAATAACTGTAATAATAATAAAGACGGGTTGGATTAAAACAACCGAAGAAAAAATAAATAAATAGGTTCCAAAGTATAATCCAACTTAACAATTTTTACACGTTAAATAGATCAACTTGCTAGGTTTAACTTGTTTTATCATCTCTATCTACAATTTTACCAAGTTATATGGGTAATTACAGAATAAAGAATCATTTCAACGTAAAAACTTAAATGAGTTGAATCAATTATGGGTAAAAATAAAAACCAAAGCAACAACTTAATTGGGTTTGGTTTAGTTGAGAAATTTTTCCTATGTCAACCTAGATCAACCCATGTTGAATTTTTTTAATTTTTTCCAAACAAATTCTATCAAAGTATTTTAGTTTTACATTATCTTTTTTTAAAAAAATATTAATTTTTTTTAGGGAAAAATGTTTGTCATTTTAAATGATATAAGATTATGTCATTTTAAGAGAGAGACACACACACTAATTTTTTATTTAAATTTTAAATTAAAAATAATCACTCATTTTCTCTCTGCCATGATTTTCATTTTTCTGTGTCTATCTATCTCCAAAAATGACATAACTTATGTCATTTAAAATGACAAACGCCAAACCCTTTTTTTAATATTAAAATAATTAAGAAAACATTTATGGTGATCGGATTGATTTTATTTTTTGCGTTTTAGCTTATCCATATGAGTTAATATTATGAAGAATAGCTCTCTTTCTTTAAAGCAGAAATTCTAAATATTCAAAACGTTTCGCTTAATAAATAATTGTTTTAAGGAATTTCTGCAACGTTAGAATTTAAGTTAATACTTCAAATAAAAATTGGTCTCACAATTAAAATTCGTTGGAAAACCAAATCCAATTCAGCCATACACAGTATAATTAATGGTTCACACTTCACATAGTTTTGTATTTTTATCAAATTCCTCAGCGTGACAACAGCCGCTCAGTCTACCTGTGCTAAAAAACGCCACAAGAGAAAGTGGGGGCGTAAAAAACCTTAGGATACACCTCCATAAAAGTTAGCTCAAAAGGTAGGAGTGCTCAAAATCTTATAAACTCCACATTAATTACACATATACAACCAATGTGAAATGTGGGACTATATATCTCAACATATTACTTAACGACAACTATACGACCGAACCACTAACTTCACAAAACAATCAGAAAGTTGAGGCTTGTAGTGTCGGGTCATGGTCTTTCTATGAGTAACATCTGTTACACTGCTTTGGTGGAGATTATCAATCATAAAACGTGTCTAGGCTTTTAGCAATCTAACTAAGCTACCAGGTAAGTGTATCCTACTACGAAATCGACAATCGCAGTTCGCACAACACATAAATCGAAAATAAAAAGAGAAACGAAGAGAGAAAATTAATAGAGTGATTTACTCTGGTTTATTTAATATAAATTATGTCAATCTTATCTGTAATATATTCACCTCATCTCTACTCTCGTTATAAGTCACTCGGCTTATAACGGAATATAAATAATATTTAAAATACGCTAACAAGCGTTATTCATGAGAAGTCCAAATTACTATAAAAAAAATACAATAAATCAGAGATTCACAAGTCACAACAATACTAGATAAATGAAACCTCAATTGCCTTTTTGCTGACCCCACTAATAAGAACTCTGGTTCTATACGAAGTATAAGCAATACCAAACAATATGGTACGCTGGCTCGTGTGTGCATACGTGTTCCACCAAATTAAGGTTAATTCTAACAAAAGATATTGGTGGTACTAGTTTCATTTCATTCTCTCTAGTCATGTCTTGAATAGGGGGTTGGAGAGGGCCACTTTGTCCACTAATTTGGTACTTCAACAATTTGATCCTCCATCAGTTCCCACTCATGTGTGCCATAGTATAAGTAGGGTCTTTCTCCTACTTGTGGTTCCCCAAGAGAATTAGTTAAAAAAAAGTCTTAGAGGGAAAAGGGAAAGGAATTGAGGGGATTAAAGACAAAATGGAATCAACTCATGTAATCTCCATTATGAATGTAGAAGAGAATGTTGCTCACATGAAGGAGAAAAAAACATTCCAATTTCCACTTCCACCCATATTTACTTCCTATTTCAGGGACAAGCAGATGAAAAGTAACCTTGACACTAGGAAGATAATCCACAGTATCAAAGTGGGAATCTCCCTGGTTTTGGTTTCACTTCTGTACCTCTTGAATCCTCTGTTTGAGCAAGTTGGAGAAAATGCAATGTGGGCTATTATGACTGTTATTGTCATGTTTGAATTCTCTGCAGGTACTTTAGTAACATATAATATGATTGCTTCAATTCTTATATATATTCTTTGCAAAGATGCTAGAAAATATATTGTAATGTCTCTGAAGCAATGATGAATTTAATGTACACTAATTTAATCAACATGTCAGGAGCCACACTAGGAAAAGGCTTCAATCGTGGAATAGGAACTATTTTCGGAGGAGGGTTGGGTTGCTTAGCAGCAGTTTTTGCCCGAAGCATTGGAGGGGTTGGCAACTCGATTATCATTGGTACTTCATTATTTATCTTTGGTAAGTTTTTTTATACATCTCTTGCACTGTATTACGGTTGAAGCTATATTTAATTTGAAGTGCATATCTTTAATAAACAGTTGGTGTGGTGAATATTAATTTCAGGATCAGTTGCTACATATTTTCGACTGGTTCCAAGGATCAAGAAAAGATATGATTATGGAGCTATGATATTCATACTAACTTTCAATCTTGTTGTGGTGTCTGGCGTACGTGCTGATGACAGTGTCTGGGAAATAGCCCGTGAACGTCTCTTAAATATAGTAATGGGTTTCATTGTGTGTATTTGTGTGAGCTTGTTCGTCTTTCCCTTGTGGGCCAGTGATGAACTTCATGATTCCACAGTTTCAAGATTCCTAGACCTTGCCAATACAATTCAAGGTATATACGATTACACATAAAAAAAGGGTTTCTGCCTTTTATTAATTTTCTCTACTTCACATGAACAAACTAAACTAGAATTTTCATAACCAAAGATGTGATCTCTGAAATCAACCAAAAAGGAAAAATAAAATAAAATAAAAGGATGGATCCCGGGACTAGGATCGATATATTTATTTATTTTAACCAAAGATTGAATTTAAAAAAAAAAAAAACAAATAACACTCAATAACAATTACATTAAATGTTTAATTTAAGCTAACAATGTTAGAATATGGAATTGTTTAGTTTAATTGTGATATTTTAAATAACCTATTTAAGAACTGAGTGTGTGGATCAACTTGTATGAGATTATTCTAGTTTAGTTACTGATCTCTAGTTCAGATTATTCCAGCTTAGTTACTGATATCTAGTTCGAAGTCCTGACTATGCCGTGTAATCCTGGTAGGCTTAATCGGATTAGTTAATTAATTAAATGATAGAGAAATCTCTAAAAAAAAACCTATTTAAATTATTTTATATGTTCCGAGAAAAGATTGTTACAGATTACTTAATTATATATAATAAAAATTTACAAAAATAATTCGGTGAATATATATATATATATATATATATATATATATATATGATCTTTTGATACCAGTGTCAAATTTTAAAATTTGACATCAAATCCTAACCGTTGATTTCCGTCAATCAACGATTATCATTTATTGGTAATCAAATTTATTAATTAATTATTAATTCTCAATAAATAATAAAAGCTGATTGACGAAAATCAACGGTTAAGATTTGATATCAAATTTTAAAGTTTGACACCAGTATCAAAGAATTCTATCTCATATATATATATATATATATATATATATATATATATATATATATATAATGTGGGGTGGGATTTCTAATAATGAAGATTTCCATGCTCATTCAATTTCTTTCATAAACGGGTGGATGGGATTCAATATCAATATAATAACGCTATAAATATATATGTTATCCAAAAAAAAAAAATCGCTATAAATATATAGGTCAGCCAAAAATAATCGTCTTCCATATTGTAGGGTGCTTAGAGGAATGTACCAAATTCGTTAGTGAAAAGGAAAATCAACCCCGTGCTAGCTTCATTGTTTGCAAGTCAGTGTTGAACTCCAAGTCCAAGGATGAATTATTGGTATGTATATTATTTATTTATTTATTTTATATTTGATCAATTACGTATCTTACTTTGAATTAGTTGATGAAAGCCTATGTATTACGTTGAGCTATCATACTTTTTTTTTATATATTAAATTTTATCTTGAGATTGAATGTAAGTTTATAATTAATGTTTACTCTGATTTTCAGGCAAATTTCGCAAAATGGGAACCATGGCATGGAAAATTTGGATTTTCCTACCCTTGGGAAAAGTACTTACAGATTGGAGAGGTTCTTCGAGAACTGGCTGCTTTAATTCTTGCAGTGGGACGTTACCTCCAATCCTCAAAACAGGTAGGTATATATATATATATTTCACAGCTAATTTATGTGGTTGCAAAATGAATAAAAAGAGATGAGATGGGCTCATTTATTTGGGTTCAATGAATTTTTGTTGTCAAGTCCATGGCATCTTTGAGGCACTCAAAATGGGTCCATTTAGAACCATGTGAAGCAATTGGGTCAAGGGTTGCGTGGACTTTGCGAGAACTCGGAGACTGCATGAAGCAAATGAGGAAATGTGAAGCAGAGGCCAACATTTCAGCCAAGTTGAAAGCAGCGAGAGAGGAGTTAAGCTTGGTGATTTCCACGTCCAAGATAGCAGAACTTGAGAATGGTGAAGTGCTAACAATTGCAAGCTTCGTGTTATTACTAATGGAAGTGGTGGATAAGGTAGAAGAATTGGCTAAAGAGCTCGAGGAACTTGGAGATATCGCTGGTTTTAGTATCCATGTAACTCCAGTGTCTTCGTAGATCCCTATGCATACTCTTTGTATGTATAAAATCATTTCCCGATTTTGGGTCATAAATTAAAAATATATGTTTTAGTGTAGTATCCAATCTCTAAATAATAGGCGTAAGACGCAATTTAACTAACTTTGTATTTATGAAAAAGAAAAAAAGAAAGGAAATAAAAGGAAAACAGACGGCAATTAGTGATGCGTCGACATTAACCAGCAAAATGAGCAAGATCCCAAAAATACATTAAAATTAGTAAATATCTCATTCAAATAAATACTAAAAATTCAATTACAAAATATTGATGAAAAAATTTAAAATTTGATTTTTATAATTAATTTACATAGAAATCAAAAAGTATAGATAAAAATAATATTTAAATTATAAAAAATGAGTTTAATCATTTTTCAAATTGTAAAAGATAAATTTTATTTTCTACATGCACATAAAAGTATGTGGGCTCATGTGCATCCATGTGAGGAAAAGTGAGAAAAAAGAAAATATGTGTCCACATACTTTTACGTGTTTTATCTCCTACAACATGAGAAATAATAAACTCATAAAAGATATATATAATTAATCAGAAAATATTTCTGCAGTTAATGCAGATAAGTTATCTGCATTTACTCTCAAAACGACGTAGTTTTGAGATTGAAAAATAAAAAAATTATAATTATAAAGACTATAATAACCGTGAAATAAATTAAAATTACAAAAATACCATAATTTTTGTCCTAAAATGACGTCGTATTGGACTTACTGCATATAACTTATTTGCAGTAACTGCAAAAAAAGAGAAACCATAATTAATTTAACAAAGAAATAAGAGTAAAATAATATATTTCGTTTTTAAGGATAAATTAATTAATAAATTTAATTATTTGCAAGAAAGTACACTCTAATTTAATATATAAAGATAAAAATGAAAAAATAATTAACATTTTTAATTTTAAAAAAATAAAATATCTATTTGATGCCATCTTGGGAAGGAAGAGATGTCATATCCAAATTTGTCAAGTTCCTCGATGCCAATTTAAGGCTTTTTGACCATTATGTTCCAAATTATATAAAAAATTATTATTATGCTCCCGTTTTTAAATTATTTAAAAAATTTAATCTTTCTCTTAAATATAACATCAATCTACCCTTATTTAACTATTAACTGGATCTCATATTCGAGTACATAACTATTCTACTCGAGTATATCTTCATTAAATATGTGACTCGTGTTAGTACGTAGGTGTCCTACAGACAATCTGAGAGTCAGATGAACCCATGTACTTCTTTATTAGTTATGAATAGGTTTTATGAATAAAAGCATTATTTATCTTATTTCATATTGCATGTCTCAAATATTGAATATGAGTAACTGGATAAAGCCCTTGGAATGGAACGAGTGTCACATTGAGGATATGTGATAGGGATCACGATCATGAGGGCTCAATGACACCACACGTCCATTGCCAGAAATATGTTTCTAGTCTAGAGATACTGATAATGGGCATTGGTTATCTCGGGTAAGACTAGCACGACTCAGCTACTTGCATGGAGATGTAAGGTAGAGTCCTCGTGAGCTGCAGACATGGAGATGTCTTAACTGACTCATGAGTGGACCTATTGGAGAATAGTTCGCATTGAACTGACCCACAAAGAGACACTACAAGGAAATCTCACATATAGTATCAATAGGTAATGTCTCTTATTATTTGGGTGTGTCTTTCCTTAGATCTGACATTGTCGTATAGACCTGTGCTCTGGAAGGCTTGCTTTGATTGTATATCTTGTCTACCTGAAACATGGAGACTCATAGGTATCTAGGGACTCAGGGCTAGTGTGACAAGCTAAAGGAATTCATCAATCTCTGTGAGAGATTAGGTTATCCGTAGACTGGTGAAATCGGGATGACATTTATGGGACTCGGAAATCTATGCATAGTAAAGGAGTCATGAGATGACCCACTATTTAGAGTCCGTAAATGAAGATTCCTTGTTTCGACAAAAGCTAACCCTAGATCGTAGGGGTTGATACATTTTCCTTTACCTAGGTCAATAGGATGGATATCCGAGATGAAAGGACAATTCACATGGTTCCCAAATAGGTATAACAGGTTGATCATTCGATGAACTCAACTAGCTCTGGGACAATAAAGTATTGCTAGTGCTCTGTGTTGCCATTAGATGGATTGGGCCTAATGGGCTCAAGCCCATTTATGTCAGTGGCTATGTTGGGCCTGATGGGTCGCACACAAATACCTTAAGTTGTCTTGAATTCTAGCATATGTGTTTTGGGCCCAATAAGGCATAATGGGCCTAAGTTGAAAAAGTCCACATATTGGGCCAAGAGAGAGTAAGTGGCATCATGGGTCAAGTTGGACTTGATCCATGATGTAACCTAATTCATTTAAATGTTAAATTATTAAAATTAATTTGAATTCTAATTTCGAATTTTGAATTTGAAATTTGAAATTTGAATATATAAATAAAACAAATTTAAATTCTAATTTTGAATTTGAATTTAAATATAGTCATTAAAATAGATTTATTAAAGATGGAGAAAATAAAGGAAACCAATCAATTAAATTGATTGGAAACAAATCAATTGTATTGATTGACAAAAATTAAGGAAATCAATTAATTAACCTGTTACTATTTCTATTTAATACAAAACTCTTATGATTATGTCAATCAACTACAAATAAGAAAATTAATCTATTTAATACAAATCTCCTATGATTATGTAATTGTGTAATCAATGATTAAAATTTACACCTCAGCAGATATTATCTCATTTCAACAAATATATATTTCAGTGTAGTATCCAATCTTTGAATAATTGACATATGATGCAATTTAACTGACTTTGTATTTATGAAAATGAAAAAAAAAAGAAAAAAAAAGGAAAACACTCAAACAGACTGCAATTACCAGCAAAATGAGCAAGATCACAAAAAATGAAAATGAAAATGAAAATAAAAATAAAAATAAAATAAAAGCAAACACTCAAACAGACGGCAATTACCAGCAAAATGAGAAATATCACAAAAAATGAAAAAAGAGGAAATAAAAGAAAAACACTCAAACAGACGGCAATTACCAGCAAAAAGAGCAAGATCCCAAAAATACATTAAAACTAGTAAATATCTCATACAAGTATTTCTTAAATTTAAATAAATATTAAAACAAATTAAAAATATTTAATAAAAAATATCTAAATTTTTTTTGTATAATTAATTTAGATAGAATTTAAAAAGTATAGATAAAGAATAATATTTAAAGTATAAAAAATATACATAATTAATTTAACAGAATTAAAAGATAAGAGTAAAATGATATATTCAATTTTTAAGAAAAATTATCTTAATAAAATAAATTATTTGCAAGAAAGTACAATCTAATTTAATATATAAAAATAGATAAAAAAGAATTAACATTTTTTATTTTAAAGAAATTACAATAGCCATTTGATGCCATCATGCAAAGGAAGAGACGTCATACGCAGATTTGTCACGTTAGTCAATGCCAATTGAAGCTATCTTTTTTACATATTTTTTAGTGCACTCTTTATTATTAAATAAAATCTCATTAAATAACCTAAACTCATTTTTTTATCAATGAAATAACTATTAATTTTACTCCAGCAATAAAAAAGTATATTTAAAAGACTGTGTTGCTAGAGAATATTTTTAGTACTACTATCATATTAAATACCTTCAAAATGAAATTATACACTATTTTGATTAATATATAATTATAATATTAAAATTATTATTTTTTCTCTCTCTTCAAGAAAACATATCAAATGATGTGTTTTATTTCTATTGATGGACTGTATATATGACATTAATATATTAGATATTTTGGCGTTCCTGATCTTCCTTTGATACGTATGCCATATTATTTTGTAAGAATATATAAAAAGAAAAAACAATACTATAGGTATTTTATTTTCCTCGTGCTAATGCTATCACTCATACCCAGTTATGTTTATAATTTATTATATTTTAATTTTTTGTTTTATTTTAAAATATTAGGAATTTGATATGCACTAATTAGCCTTCTTTCATATTGCAACTTACCAAAAAACAAACAAACTAACTTTTTTAATTTTGAATAAACAAATTGAGATTGATCATTGAATGACAAATTAATAGTCAGGGTCCATCATCGCATAAAAAAGATTAATTGGCCGGCAACAAAGTAAAGCACGGTTCCCCACCAGAATCCTCCACTACACTTTATCATCTCACAAACTGACAAACTCTTATATATAATTCAATCAGTTATAACTCATTATTTTAAGGAAACTTAATTTTTTAAATATAGAATCCAAAAGTACTTTTATTAATATAAACAGTCATAATAACCTTTTATCATACATGTAAATAAATTTAGAGTAAATCTACATATACAGAGAGAGTTGAAGTTCTTTAAAAATTATTAATTATATTTTTTGATTAATTAGATTAATTGATAACTACGTTTTATTGAATTTTTGAGCTTTCTGTAACTCCAAACGAGATTATCAAACAACGGTGCCTAAAACTTTCTTCCTAGTTTCCGTGAGGTGTCATGGAAGACCTAGGCCCTTGAACTTTCAATAACAAGAAGAGCAACATGACTAGGTACAAATAGAGGGCCAAAAGGTTAAATTTAAAAAAAGAAAAGAAAAACTAAATACAGGGGACTTGCTTCAGTTTAGGAATAACAAAGAGTATCATTACAAATAATAAAAGACAAAACCTTATGTATTGAATATTGGAACATAGGGGTAATAGACAAAACCACAGATCGATAAAGGAGAGGACCTTCACATACAAACCCATAGACAGTGTGTGCGCTATAATTCAAACACAACACTACAACAGCAAGATGGCCCTTCCACCAAAATTTGTACCAATTGTGATTGGTTTGTTGTAGGCTTGTACCTGTGTAGTGTTGTTAATGGTGTTCCCAATACCAACATCACCAACGTTCTCTGGAATAATGGGGTGTACACATCAGGAGACCCTTTTGCTA